GAAATCGGTATGGTACGGTTCGGTTAGGGTACGGTTTCGGTATTTCGGTTTTAGATGCCCACCCCTAGTTTTGCCAAAGAATCTTCACTGTTCTCTACTCATTACTCCTTGAAAGTTTTTTTTAGAATGTAGATATTTGTAAAATCGCAGAAATATCCAACCCACATTCTGTAAACTAATTCTTTTGTTTTGAAATACATGTAGGGCCACAACGACCCAGGTGAAGTGACAGCCACTGCCAGGTCTCTTCGGCCTTCTGTCAAGCGCATACGCGATCCACCAATAACATCCAATCAGGCTCTCACTTCTATCAATTTCATTCCATTCAGTTCCAACACAAAACGCAAAATTTCCAAAGAGACTCTGACTCTGACTCAAGTGTTTGAAAACCCCAAAAGTCTTCCCAAACCGTCTTCCACTTAAGAAAATGAAAAAAAAAAAATTGGAAAGACCTTTCCAAGTCTTGAACTTTGAGGACTTGGATTTTATTGTGGAAAAGAGAATAGGCACATAAAAAAATCATGAGACTTGGATTTTATAACATATCATTATGCTCTCTAGCAGATCATTATGAACTCTTTGACTTGTTATAAAGTATGCTCTCCAGCTTATTGCCTTCTCTTGTACGTTCAGCTTCTTTCATCACTAGGTGATTTGACAGACCTCACCGTTTTCTATCTCTATAATAATATTGTTTTCCCTCTTTTTCGCTGAAGTGGCCGACGGAATGAACTTTTGGCTTTTTTTCTCTTGTATTGCTTAGTCGTGTCACTACCAAGCTACTGGTTAGCTTGAATGGAAAAAGTTGGATTATTGTGTTTGCACTTCTGACTTCTAACCAGTTGATTGATTGGCCAAGTAAGGAACCTCCTATTGGCCTAGGCTCTTTCACTTTTTCGGGATCAATGATGGTTATGTCTCGTATGGGTATTTTTAGTATTTTTTTGGGATTTAATGATAAAGACACAAATTAAATTAAGAAGGGATTAAACTAAATAATAAGAAGGTAAATGTAAAAATAAAATCGAAACAACAATAAACGTAACTTTAAGTAAGAATGAAACAAGAATGATGTGAACGACAAAGGCAATAAAATAAATCAATCTGAAATCAAATTAAACTTAATGTAAATTCGATAACAAAAAATAAAGCAATAAACTTGAATCTTAAAACAACGTAATGAAAAATGCAAGAAATTAAACTTTGTTTGTGCCTAATAAATCACGGCCATGAACTGACCGAAGGAGCCCCTTTTTCGCGGCCCTAGCACTTGCTCATAAGACTAAAACGCAGCGTTTCGCCAAGGCGTTTTTGCCCTTCTGAAGACAAAAGAGAAATTGCTAAGGCATGATCACCTCGGCCTCGATTATAGGCCGAGGCCGAGGCCGAAACAAAGTCACGGCCAAAGGTAGTAAAGTCAAATCATCACGTGACAGCAGGGTCCCATGCTTCCTTTAATGAAGTAATGCCTCTGTTTATTGCAGCAAACCCACTGACCACAAATAAACATTTAATGCATGAGGGAAGGTGGGGAGTGACTGGAGTCAGGGTTTGGCGACAGGAAACAGAGTGATTAGACATGGACATTCTCACAAGAATTCTTACAGCTTGAGAGAGTAGGTCACCAGCCATCAGAGCAATAAATGCGTCTCCACGGCCAGAGGCGCAGAACCCACGATCAGGGCGGCGATCGAGATTTACCAAGATTTATGGAGTCACACCACCATGCTTCACGATCCCAAATATCGATTGGACTACCCACTTACTCTAACCAGGCTCCACTATGCAGGATTTCAGCCTCGATTACTCCTCCAAGAAACTCCTATAAATACAGGGCTCAAAATACATTCAAAGGGTTCAAACACCAAACCAAAGCCTCCCACAGAGCAACTTATATTTTCCTGTAATGCACTTTCAATATCTTTACTTGTTTTCCTAGGAGTAGTGTTAGACTGTAAGGAAAATTCATTCATCAATATATCATACGACCTTTGATTTTTCAAGTCGCCGGAGCATCATCCTTGTTGTTCGCTCATTCACCCCATATATCATACGACCGTCGCTCCCTGAGCAGCGCGCCGGAGCACCGCCCAAAACCCACCAACACTATCACTAAACGGCCTTGTAGCTCAGGCCGTGAACCTAACAGCCGAGATTAGTTCCTTTCTCGGCTACAATCGTTTGATTAGAAGACGAGTCCAAAACAGGCGCACCACTCAAACACTCTATCCACACCAACCATCTCGACGCACGGTAGACCGTGCTGGCACGCCCGCGCACAACCGCACCGCACCCAAAAGCCCGCGTGTCAACGCATATCCCCTCGGCCCGGAAACCCAGGCCGTGAGATCTGCGCGGTAGACAAACTTACACTAACGAAAGCGAAGAACTGGTCTAGTCTACTTGATTGGAAAATTAAAAACATAGTCTATGGATAGAAAAGTGAAAAGCAAAAAAATAGATTTTTGTGTCTAATGTCGGAGTTCCCTTTGAGTCGATTAAGGTATAAGCCAATGTGGCAACCATAAGCGATCAAAGAAGAGCTATATGCATGTATGCCCAGAAAAGGTTTACGTTGATGACCTATATTTTATGTTTGGTAAGTAGTGGTGCCTAAAAAGGAGATGAACAAAACAAACTGATAATGCACGTATTCACTTCTTCTTCTCAATTTAAAGAATTAGGGAAAGGTTAACACTCTCTGAGAAAACCCTAAGGAAAAAAGTCATAGCCTTCATCCCTTTTGGGGGTTGGCAGCCTCCTTTCCTACCTCATCCCTTCTTTTCTCATTCCATCCATTTTCCCTCAAGATTGTTAGTTTATTTTGTGATGTGGAAACAGTCGCCATAAAAAGAATATTGAAGCCATGATATAGTGACCATATTTTGGCCCACGGCTCCCTTCAACATAGTTTGGAACTCTAAAAAGGAGAAGAAGTCTAGTTGTTTTAATAGACTCAACTAATTGGGAAGTCTTCTCTCTTCTTGTGATACGTTGGCATAAATAATGTCAATCCACAATCTCGTCAAACAATGAAACAAGTCTCTCAGCACAGGTTTTTATTACAGGTAGTCTCTTTAAAATTCTTTTTTTAGTCCTCAAATGTTCAAATCAATCAATATGGTCCTTTGTATTTTAGTCTACACATCAATTTGGTCTTTATTGTCGCATTCCAACACAACTTTGTTAAATTTGGTCACATATCATCACGTGACCAACTTTAAAATATAGCTCAATTTAGTCCTAGAACTCAAATTTTTGCTCAACAAGTTATTTGCTTTCCATTTAGGGTTTCACATTTAGGTTCCGTCAAGGAGAGTAAACAAGCTTGTTGAGCATCATATGTAATTTTTTTCATTTGTTTTTCAGGGTTTCAATTCCTTCATCCAAACATAAAGCCTCTCAACCCTGGCTATTGAAATCTGTCTACTTACCAAGCTAGAAAAAAGTCGTAGGATTAAGGATCACATTGATTGATTTGAAAGTTTGAACACGCTCATTTTAAGGCTTCTCAAACTCTCAATAGCAGCCAAGTCAAGTGACAACATGTTGCTTAATTAAGTCTTCTTCATCTATTCATTATGAAATTTTACTAATAAGGTTAAACTTGAATTTAAATGTATTTTTGTTTAAATATTTTGTAGGGTTAACTTGAATATTTACAGGGTTTAATTGAAACATCTATAAATATATGATAGAAATTGTGTTCTTGACTCATGGGTCGTAATAATAGGAAGGAGAAAACGGCATTCAAGTAACAACCTCATTTCACTAAAGTTCAGTGACAACATTCAAACTTTCCAATTTTAACAGACAAAGACTTTGACTGAAGATATGTATGCTTCTTTCCTATATTTCAATGTGTCAGAGTTCTAATATTTTCTTGTTAGAGAAACTATATTGAGACCCAACAATCCAAATAAGAAAAAATAAAAATGTACAAAGCTATAAATAAATAAAAAACACCACTAATAGAGCAACGACCTCAACCCCGGCTATTGAAATCGCTCTTGAATTTGTACCTAATTTTCATTTTAATCTATAATTATTTAATTTTGAAAATTAAGCCATGTTAACACCAGATCTATGCATAATATTACTCGAATATATCCACACACAAAAAACGTTACTTTTCTCTCTATTTTTGTTATAATTATTTTATTTTGTGTGTATATCTATGTTATTTTATTTTTCAGTTTTTTAATTATTTATAAGATACAAATTGACCAATTTGCCCTCATAGTGCCCACATGGTATCTTTTAACTGTAAAATAGTTGGAATGTAAGGAAATTTAGCACTAGAGGGGAGATTGACTAAAAAACATGTTTGTATTCTGAATTTTCTCAAATAAAAAAACAATGGGTAAAATGAAAGTTATGTACAAATTTAGGGGGAATTTCAAAACTTTAGCCTTTTATTTTTACACCCCAAATAACCGATATTTTAAATTAAAAAAACTGAAGAAATAGCTTTCATTCAACTACAGGGCAAGCAAGCTAATAAATAACCGATGTATTTTGTGTTGATAAATTAAAAAAATTAAGTTGACTATTAAAAAATTAGTGGCAACGGAGGAGCACAATTATCAAATGAATTTATCCAATAAACGACAAAACAAACCATCAATTACGCATTCCTATTCCTAGGTACAGTAAATCAAATCAATAAGGGCTCATTTGGTACACCGTAAAAGACTCTACTATAACTATAAAGAACGAGAGACAAAGACTTTGACTCCAGCCATTATAAGAACAACCACTAAGACAAAGACTTTATTACAATTCTAACAATGGCAGAAAGCTCACTCAAGCATTCAGCTGGGTGGGACACAGCTAAACCCCTATGTCATCCATATGGTTATCTCTCTCACCTTCGTCAATTTCATTTCATTATTTCATCCAGAAAATACAAAATTGGCATGTAAATTTAGAGAATGAAAGACTGAGACTTTCACTCAAAAGAAAACTGAATGGCGTAGATGAAATTGCATTGACGAGTTATTCCTCTTCAGATTTGTTGGGGACAGCTGGAGTGGATTAATTTTTCCACTAAAGCAAAGCAAGAAGCATGTTTTGTTTGAATTGTTCTAGTCGTGACAGGACTACAACATTTCAGGGTTAATCATGCTTTGAGAAAATGCAAAAGTTGTTTTTTTCAACTTTAAAGAAAAGGGACAAAGACTTTCAGTGTGAAAACCCCAAACAATAATTTCATTGTGAGAGGGAAAGAAAAAATGAAACAATAATTTCATTGTCCAATGCCATGGTGACATTCAGGTGTGAATTTGAGGTCCAAGAAGACCACGGGTTCTCACACAACTTAATCAAGAGCACAAGGACCACGCTCTCAAAGACTTTTCAATGCTCAACTAAACCCCAAAGACTACCCACACTATATATAAGTAGTAAGGCACGGCCCATACAATATACATATACCACACAAACAATAACCATGACATCTTTAACTTCCGCTAAAATATGCTTCCTGCCTTATTGCCTTGTCATCTTCTTGTATGTTTCATCACCAAATTGGGTTGCTTTTCCTTCTGCTACTTCTACTTCTCATACTGAAGCAAAGGCTCTTCTCAAATGGAAAGCCAGCTTATTTCCAAATCAAGCCCTCAATAACCTCGCCTGGTACGACCCTCCCACTCATAATATTAATGCCACCAATTCTTCCAGCACAAATCCAAAACCAAGAACAAGCCCATGCACTTGGACTGGTGTTTCATGCAACTCAGCTGGAAGTGTCAACAGGATAGACCTTTCCAATAGAGGTATTCAAGGTACGCTACATGAGTTTTCATTCTTGTCCTTCCCTAATCTTGAATATCTTAACCTCAGCTTGAACAAACTCTTTGATGCCATCCCACCTCAAATCAGCTACCTCTCCAAACTCCACCATCTTGATCTCTCTCGGAATAACTTGTCTGGTAGAATTCCACCAGAAATCGGTCTCCTAAGAAATCTTAGGTTTCTTAGGCTCTCTAAAAATACTTTGTTGGGGGAAATTCCCAATGAGATAGGCAACCTGAAATCTCTTGTGGAGCTATATTTGTATGAGAATAAACTCAACTGTTCAGTTCCAAGATCACTAGGCAATCTAACAAGCCTTACTCATCTCTATCTCTATGATAATAAACTTTCTGGTTTGATTCCCAAGGAGATAGGGAACTTGAAATCTCTTATAGATCTAGAGTTGTCCAACAACAATTTAAGTGGTCTCATCCCTCCAAATATTGGTAACTTAATAAAGCTAAACACTTTGTACTTGCATTCCAATCAACTTTCTGGTTTGATTCCCAAGGAGATATGGAACTTGAAATCTCTTGTAGATCTAGAGTTGTCCAACAACAATTTAAGTGGTCTCATCCCTCCAAATATTGGTAACTTAATAAACCTAAACACTCTGTACTTGAATGACAATCAACTTTCTGGTTTGATTCCCAAGGAGATAGGGAACTTGAAATCTCTTGTGGATCTAGCGTTGGCCTTCAACAATTTAAGTGGTCTCATCCCTCCAATTATTGGTAACTTAATAAACCTAAAATTTTTGTACTTGAATGAAAATAAACTTTCTGGTTTGATTCCCAATGAGATAGGGAACTTGAAATCTCTTGTAGATCTAGAGTTGGCCAACGACAATTTAAGTGGTCTCATCCCTCCAAATATTGGTAACTTAATAAACCTAAAATTTTTGGGCTTAAGTTTCAATCAACTTTCTGGTTCGATTCCCAAGGAGATAGGGAACTTGAAATCTCTTGTAGATCTATGGTTGTCCTACAACAATTTAAGTGGTCTCATCCCTCCAAATATTGGTAACTTAATAAACCTAAACACTTTGTACTTGCGTAAAAATCAACTTTCTGGTTTGATTCCTAAGGAGATAGGGAACTTGAAATCTCTTATAGGTCTAAAGTTGCAGTACAACAATTTAAGTGGTCTCATCCCACCTGAGATCGGCAATGCAACCCAAATTAATGTGCTGGAACTTTCTTCAAATCATTTAGTTGGGTTGATCCCAAAAGAATTCGGGAAGTTGTCTTTGTTGGTGAAGTTGATGTTGAATGGAAATCAACTTTCGGGTCGTATACCGTCGGAATTCGGATCATTGAATGATCTTGAATATCTTGACTTGTCAACAAATAAATTCAGTGGCTCAATTCCAAGCATTCTAGGTGACTTACTCAAATTATACCATCTGAATTTGAGCAACAACAAGTTATCTCAAGCAATTCCATTTAAGTTGGAGAAGTTAGTTCAATTGAATGACCTGGATTTAAGTCATAACTCACTTGAAGGTAGGATACCATCAGAAATGGGCAGTATGCAAAGTTTGGTGACACTTGATCTTTCCCATAACAATCTTTCGGGTTCCATACCATCAAGTTTCGAAGAGATACATGGCTTGTCGTACGTTGACATATCCTACAATCACTTGGAAGGACCCCTTCCCAACATCAATGCATTTCGAGAAGCTCTGACAGAAAGATTGAAAGGGAACAAAGGATTGTGTGGAAAAGTTGGAGCTCTGCTGCCACCCTGCAATGCACATGGCTCAAAAAACCACCACAAGGTCATATTCTCTCTTCTAGCAGTATTTGTCCTTGTATTTGCTCTCTTTACAATTGTCTTTGTAATAGTGCAAAGAAAGAAGAAGCATCAAGATACTAAGCAAAACCACATGCATGGAGAAATTTCCTTTTCAGTTTTAAATTTTGATGGAAAATCAATGTATGAGGAAATCATAAGGGCAACAGAAGATTTTGATTCCACATATTGCATTGGGAAGGGAGGACATGGAAGTGTCTATAGAGTGAATTTGTCATCTGAAGACGTAGTGGCTGTTAAGAAACTACATCCGCTATGGGATGGAGAGACAGAATTTCAGAAGGAATTCTTGAATGAAGTAAGGGCACTCACTGAGATAAGACATCGGAATATTGTGAAGCTCTATGGTTTCTGCGCACATAAACGACACTCGTTTTTGGTGTATGGGTATCTTGAAAGAGGTAGCTTGGCCGCAATGTTGAGCAAAGATGAAGAAGCTAAAGAGTTGGGGTGGAGTAAAAGGGTGAATATTGTTAAAGGCTTAGCTCATGCCTTGTCTTACATGCACCACGATTGCTTGCCACCGATTGTACATCGTGACATCTCAAGCAAGAACATTTTGTTGGATTCTGAATATGAGGCCTATGTTTCAGACTTTGGCACTGCTAAGTATTTAAATCCAGACTCAACTAATTGGACTGCCGCTGCAGGCACATATGGCTACATGGCACCAGGTAATATTGTGATTCCCTGTTCTCTGTATTTAGCACTTTTTAAGCTTTTGCTTTTAGACCAATGCTTCATTTTCACTTCTGTGATTTAGAATATATAACTATTAGATATTTTTTATGTGCATGATGATGGAAACTTTTCTTATTTAATTATTTTTCTTCTTCAACATCCAGCTTTTAATTCTTTTTCTTCTTCACCGTCCAGCTTCTATTAAGCTATCTGTTTTAGTTCTGAAAAAGAACCAAATTTCCTCGAATTTGTATGTTGTGTGTTTCAAGGAATTATTAATTTGATTGGGAAATTGTGACTTCCTCACTGTCCTTTTTCTGAGAAGCAATGTTTTGAACACTTCAATCTGAGTCTCTTATTATACGTGTGTACAATTGATGCATGATGCAATTTCTTCTATGTGCTTTTTTTTTAGCAGAGCTTGCATATACAATGGAAGTGAACGAGAAGTGCGATGTTTATAGCTTTGGAGTTGTCACACTGGAAATAATTATGGGAAGCCATCCAGGAGATGTTTTCTCATCTCTATCATTCGGGGCGTCATCGTCGTCCTCATCTGCATCACCTGCCCCTGAAATGCCAATTTCGGAAGTTCTGGACCAACGCATCTCCCCACCCACAAAACAAGAAGTAGGGGAGGTGGTCACTCTGGTGAAGATCGCATTTGCATCCTTGAATCCCAGTTCGCCGTGTCGTCCAACAATGAAGAAAGTTTCTCAGCTCCTATCATCAACTCAGAGGTTGCATTTGTCAAAGCCATTACATATGACAACATGTGGTGAATTGCTTGCTCTTGATGGTTTCACTGCCTGATCAGGACATGTGCTGCTTTTCATTGGAGTATGCCTTATTCTAATTCTTCTTAGATGTTTGGATTATTGTAATCTATTTCATGCCCACTTCTGTCTTTTGGGTTATTAGTATTTAGAAATACTTTCGTGCTATTAGCCCAACCCTATCAAGCATTCCATTAACACTTCACTCGCAGTGCTCTTTTTTAATGTACAGAATAGTGATTCCTCAACAAAAATAAAAAAAAATAAAATTAAAATAGTGAATGTATACTCAAAATACAACAAAATCATAAATTAGAGGACAGATAAAGTGATGATTCAACATTTTCTTTGGATGGACACATTGAGACACGACACAAAATTCAAGTGGCATCAGTTTGAGTTTCTTTTCTTCTTTTTTAAAATACTTTTAAACTTGATTCAAGTTTAGTTTTTTAAAAAGACTTCTTTTAAACTTGATTATGTAAAATGAATGACGTAATTCCTTTTTCTTTCTTCTGTTTTTCTTGATAGTCCAAAATCAAAATGACATGGAAAATAAAATTTGGCATTTGTTTCAGTCTCTGGAACGTGGACTCAACTAATTGGGAAGTCTTCTCTCTTGCTGTGACAATAACACGTTGGCATAAATAATGTCAATCCACAATCTTGTCAAACAATGAAACAAGTCTCTCAACATGGGTTTTTATTACAGGTAATTAAATAATTAACAATACGTAAACACCCAATATCAAGAACATTCATCAAATTGGTTGATATATTTAAGCTCCTGTTTATACTAGAATAAACATTCTATCATTGGTTGATATATTTAGCGGTTGAGGATAGGTGCTAACATTTGATATTTAGATAATATTTTGATGAGGTAAAGACGGCTAGCCACTTGGATAACAAGGCAACAAGCCTTATGTGTTTACACGTTTTTTTTAAGCAACCAAGGAATGGTGCCACCTCCAGCTTATGTTATCCACCTCATGCTTCTTATATAAATAATATACCATGATGAAATGTACTCGTGTAGCTCACAGAGGTAAAGGCAGAATATAATATAATTTAATTTATATTAAGATAGGTATTTTATAACACATTCGAACACATTAATAATACATATATATTAAAACAAAAGCCTCTTATTCAATTGAACATATATAAAAATATAAAAATAATTAATAAAATAAAATGCTTATAATTATTGGAATAGTACTATAAACGTAAAACAATATATATATCATTCTTATCAAGATAATTACTTATAAATATATATAATAATGTTTATTCCTCTTTAATAAAATTTTATTATTATTTTTAAATATACGGACTCTCACACCAAATATAAGACAACAATAATCAAATAATTCTGGAGACAATATGACTAGTCAAATACTAGTCATAGACTTATGAATAAACAAACAAAGCACAGACTCATCACAAATCAAATATAAGAACCTGCAACCCTAGAAGATAACTATGTGACAACCTAACCACTCAGAAGGACCCGTCAATCTAGGCATCTCTTGTCCTTCATGGAAATGGTAGCTAGTCATCAGCTCCTTCACCCCACTGCACCGAAACTCAGCTCCGGATTTTAACCAATGAATGAACTATAGATTCAACAACCAATAGATTGATTTCTTCAGGAAATCATTCTTGAAGAAATTAATCCTAGAATTTGTCCTAGAAAAATATGGTGAATGAAAGTGTATTCTAGATGCAGATTTTATAACACCAAAGTAGATTTCAAAACATTTTGGAAAATCTCATTTTGAAAATCGACCATTTTTTCAGCAAGGAATTTACTTTTCTCGCAGAAGAACACTTTCAGCGAGGAAAACACACTTCTCTCAAAATTTGAGCTAAATTTGGTCCCCAAATTGGTCTAAGCTATAGAGAGGAAATGTTGGATTCGGCGACAAATTATATTGACGCTGTAGATTGTTAAAGCGAGGAAATAGATTTTTCCTTGCTAAAAGTTTAGCGGGAATTCTTCCCAATTCCCTCCAAAACTATACTGAGAAATGGTTCGTGTTCCTCGCAATAGAAGGCTTTTAGCTAGGAACCTTCCTCGCTATACATCTTGTGCAAATTTTTCAATTTATTTTTAAAGTGCCGCCAATTTTTTTGGCAAAGTGAAAATTTTGCCTCTGTTTTTCTGAAATTTTTGTTTAGAACAACAATGAGGAATTTAGTGTTTGACGCGGTAGGTTTTTCGGGAGGAATGTTTTTGGTCGTAGTATGACATGTATAACGAGGATTGTAATATTTGTCTTCAGTTTTCAATATATCCAATGTACAGTCCCGTTCTCTTCGTCACCACCAGGGGTTCAAGACATTTGTGGTCACCCACCCTTAGATCTAATCTAGGAATGGAAAAGCTGAAGAGGACCATGAGGAGGAACTGAAGGTCATAGGGGTCGACCTCTACCATGGAGTCGGAGGAGGCTGGGCCCCCTGGTGACCAAGAGAACGGAACTGATCCAATATATTTTATTAGTTTTGTTGTGTCTTTCGAATCTTTCAGTTTCACTCCCTTTACTCAAAAAAAAAGAAAAAAAGAAAAAAAAAGCGTAACTCTCGCTCTTGCTCTCACCTCCATCGTCTCCTCCACTTCTGCGTTCCCATCGACAACCGACTACCAACACCGGCAACGACGATGACGAAGAAGTACTCGAACTCCTCTTCTCCTCTCTCTCGCTCAACCCCTCGTCGGGACCCATAGACCCCAAAACTCAACAGTCAACACCCCTCCATCAATTCCTCTCAGCTGCCCTAAATACTTGTTAGTTCTCCACCACCGAAAGTCAAACCCCAATCCCACCCACTTCACCCACCATTCACAGCCCCTCCTCCTCCTGTATCTGAGCTCAACCGAGAATCCAACCCACTCACCGAATTGGTTATCTGGATTGGAAATTGGTATCAAACACTTTGAGGGGTAAGTGTTGAAATCTGAAGTACTATTTTGGATATTAGGAAGGAAAGGGAAGGAGGAGAAGAAAGACAGCAAAATTTTATATTTCAGACAAAATGGACATGCCCGATGTAGTGCCCGATTTGGGTACCGTAGCAATTGTTCTTGCCCGATATTGATAGAAATGAAAGCACGCTCATATCGAGCTCAGCTATACACATCCATATTCATATCAAAAAACGGTTACATCCAGATCAGTACAAAATTGATCTGCCAATGTGTGTATGACACTTGGCAATTTCCTACAGGCCTTTTAGCCACAAAATTCCATCAAGCGTAAAAGGGACTTTAAGCTGTTACTTAATCACAATCAGCTGTAAAACTGTAAAACTGTAAATGTAAAACTGTAAAACCAAGTTACACATCAACAGTAAGCATCTCTACTTGGGTCGATTATTTCACTTTCTTTTCTTTCTTAACTTTGTCGCTTCACATCTCTGCTTGCTGCAAAACCCTCTCAAAGCCTTTCCATTTTTAAGGGCTTCTGGTAATCTGAGGTGAAATGTTAAAGTGTGTGTTGGTGTATCGGTTAAAAACTCTAGATATATTGATGGGTTTTTGATAATCTGAGATTGGCTTGTGTGGATTTGTGAATTGTAGGGTTTAGGAAGTTAATTGTAGGTTTATGCATTGTAAAATTCCTATTTCTGAATTGTTATCTGGATTAGGTTCTGGGCTGCTCTCTGGGCTTCGGTTTCTAATGATTTCAAGTATCTTGGAAAAATTTGGTGCAGTGGTATAGAAAAAGGGTTGAAAACAATAAAATTTTGCATCTACTATGTCTCTTTATATCTAAATGCAGACCCTAATTCTTCTTATTATGTTTTTCTTCTTTTTGTTCTCACTTGATCTGCTGAGGTCTGGTTGCATATTTCACCATTCATTGACTCTCTTAACATAAAAATTGATTCTTTCTTATGAATTCTGTTTTTGCATCCCAAATTTTCAATCTCTGCATCATAAGCCTAATTGGATTTGAACTTTAAATTTCAATTTGCTTTGTGGCTAATCCACTTCTTGTTGATACCCATGTCCTTGACCACCTATATCTATGCCTCTTTCATTAGTTTAAATTCCATTAGGTTGAATATAATTACAAGCTATCTACTTTTATGACAATAAAGTTTTATCAGTTTTGTTATTCATATAAACGATTCCTAAATGTTCTGCCTACTTGGTATATATTTGTACTTTTTTGACAGGGCTTATTTCTTTAAGAGTTTAATTTCATCTATAAGAAATTTATACACTTGAAATCTTTTATTTATCTGAACCTCAATTCAATTTGCAGGAAATTCAAAAGAGGGTATTTCTGTGTTAGCCACTCCCTTTTGTTTTAAGTTTGGACTAGCTAGCTATTGATTTGAAAGAATTAATCATCTACAGGTTTGCCTCTTTTTTTTTTCTTTTTTTTCGTTTCTTTCCTCCAAAATGCCCCATTAGCTTATCAATGTGCCTTCAATAAAAGATGTAGAATTTTTGGTAACTGAGTATATAGCACCCTATTGAAGACTACAAAATATCTCAATGTAATTGTGCTCCTTCCACTCATTTTTGCACAACCACCAGAATTGCAAATTGCTGACTTTTTCAAATTTTACGATCTGGTGAGCAGAGTACAGCAGGCTCTGAAAGCTGGGTTTCGGCATCCAATTTTCGACGTCATTATTCCTTAAGCCAAATATGTGATCAACCCTGTTGTGAAATTATTGCAAGCGCACAATTCGCACAAGTAATATAGAAATAAGTAGAGTATCGTTCCCACGAAGACTGTAATTTCCTATTAATTACCAATTATGATTAATTCAAAAGTTTATCTGAACAATTGATTAAGAAGATTGATTGATTTAAGTAACCTAAAACAATTATGAAAAATAGCAATTTAATTAATGATAGAAAAT